TGAAATATATTAATTTGAAAAAATATAAATCAATTATTTTTTCATAATATTAGTTACAGTAAATATGTTTATTAATTAATATATTTTCAAAAAAGAATATATATCTTAAATATTTAATTTAATGTCATTTATAAAATTTCTTATATGTCTAGTATAAATTTTAAATGATTAATTTTTATTTTTAAAATTTATTATAATTTTATGATTGCAATTGTGCATCCAAACAGAACATGTGTAATTACACTGTGACATTCAAACATGACATGTGTAATTCCAGTGTAATTACACTGTGGCAATCAAACAGGTCAGTGTAATTACTAGACTGTGTAATTACTAGGCTGGTAATTACTACCCTAGTAATTACACCAATTCCAATTACCTGGTGGCTTTCCAAACAGACCTTAATAAAATTACATTACTCTTTTTGATATTAGCTTGGATGGTGAGATGACCTTAACCACCAATCCAAAAGCTACTACTCACTAAATATAATTTTTTTTTTAAAATATTCATGATTTAATTTGATTTGTTTAGATTTGCGTCAAACAAATCTGTCATTATAAGACTATAACAGTAAATCATTTTTTTTTTGAAGAGTTTTCCATTTTTAAAATTTGAGCTCAAATCAACTGATTAAAGAGAGATTTATCATCCCATTATGCTCTTTAGAGGTCCATTTTCTTTTTAAAAAATCCCTTGCAAAAGAAAAATTAAATTGATCATTTAGTATTTAGAAATTCTGTCGCATGAAAAACCATCATATTGAAACTAACGCTTATTAGTTTACCATAGGTAGATAAAGTTGAGATGAGCTGATAACAGATTATGAAATGACGCATGACATATCTATATATGAATTATTGTAATTATCGGATATGAATTGAAAAAAAGTACTTCAAAAATATAAATATATACCCAGCTTTATTTGGTCATTATACGGATCAAAATAACTAGGAGTAATTCATACTTTTTGTGTTGCATGTTATGCAATAAAATTCGAATTTCAAAAATCAAACAACTTAATTTTGATAGTGAATTTAGGCATAAAATTTACATATTTAAAATTACATAAAAAGTTTTATAAATAACAATAATTGACAATTTAAAATATTTTTAAAAATATGACAAAATTACTATTAAAGAAAGACTTCTTAAATCTTAAAATTCGAAGGTGCCACATAAAATGAGACATGTGGAGAGTTTGTAATTTCTTCGTGCATGTCTAAATGGAGAAATAGCAGAATTTATCCTAGAATTTGGTGGGAAAATGGCACTAACATGCTAACTCATCATATAGTTAATTAAAAGTAATGATAATATATCAACAAAAATAAGTATTATAAACTTTCATAAGATGACAAATTACAAACAAATAAACACTTTAATGTACCTTTTAATATGATTAGATGCCTATGTATTTCAAACATTATCTTAATCACTATATGACAAAAATAGCCATTATTCTGTTGGTCACATAAATGCTAGAAAATTGCATAAATTTTCTAATAAAGTCTTTTAGTGCAACACCGCCCTTAGTTTTTTATTTTACAAAAATAGATTGTAATTTTCTTTGTTAATTGGAGAAGTTGCTTTGAAGGCCAGCGTGCGAATATTTAGCCTGTTAATCTGAAAACGTTTTGTTGCTTCCAACTAATTTCAACCATATTATTTTTAATTATCCTCACATACAAATAACCTAATCAAGAATTATTTGCATGCCACTTATAAAATAAAAAATAAAAAAAATACTAGCTACTTCTATGCCTATGGAGTTTTCTAGAACATTGATATAAGTTTTTTTGCAATAACAATATATATATAACTACTTACATGCATGATTATCAAATCACTAAAAAAAACAAGCAACTAATATCATATTATAACATTAACCATAACCTGAATCGTAAATAATTATTACATTATCAGTGTATATATCATAAATCTTTCCGAATTTGCCAAAATATGAATTTTCATTTATCCCAAGCCATTCTCATGAGGTATAGAATTATACTTCTCCAATCTGGATATATGAGATGAGTTTAAGTAATTATATATATGTCGTAACTAATAATTTTATGTGTTTTATAGCAAGAAATATGTCTTATGTTTTAAAATTACAAAATTCTATATTTGGATAGTGTAAAAAATGTGTAACACTGTATATAGTTGCATAATGAACAGTGTAATATGTGATGTGGTGCTAACTTAATGCGCATGAAATGTTAGGTAGAAAAGGACATAAATGATATATATTTGTATGAGGAAATGTGAGTGATTAATTACCAATTCTATGGTGAATTAATTAATATATAGTTATATACCCTCTTTTTGACTTTGAGTGAGGAGGAAGTCAAATGAACCAAAAGGCCTACACAAAATCAAAATATATACCTTTGCTTTGAAGAGAAAAGCCACATACACACACCAATATGAAGTGCATATCCACTTCAATGAACCATAATCCCTCTAGTACAATAATAATGCTTAGCAGAATAAAATTACACTTTGGAAAAAGTAAATTGGAGTTGCATTATGATTGTCTAATTGATTGGTTATAAGTTATATACACAGACAGTGTAAAAAAATTTCAGTATTAATATAAATAATTTGTTAGTTACTATATTTACTAGGATTTCAGTTAATGTTTATATCATAAAAATTAATGTACTTATTATCATATTACAAATGATCAATGTAAATATTTTATATATAGATCTTAATTAACTGATATATAATATATATTGTTTTAACTTTTTTTTTTAGTGTAAAATAGGATTGAGGAGGATATGGGTAAGTGAACAGAGATTCAGTTTAGTGAAGACAAAAGTCATAGATATATCATATATCAATGAAAATAGAAAGGCCAACAAATTACAAGATTTATATGCAACTTGTAGTTGAGGATTAGTTGGTTCATATCCCTTGATATGGACTGCTCTATATAAATTAAAATTTTATTTCATCACATCAATGCATCCTCAATGAAAAATATTTATCTAGAAAATAAATATTTTTTTTAAAAAAAATTATTTTTTAGTGTTCGATAAACAAGATAAACAAGAAGAAATGTTATATAAAAATATTTATGTATAATCTAAATACGAGGATTGGCCGGTTGAGCGTGGGGTGCAACGATTGGGGTAATGGGGAGATGGGGTGGAAAAAATGAACGTGGAATATCATTCATTAAAATTATTTTCTGTAGTATTCTTATGGAAGTCATTTTTATAATTTTTAAGACAATTGATTTTCTTGAAGAAAAATATTTTTTAAATTAAATACACACTACACTAAAAATGATTTTTAGAAATGTTTTAACACTATTTGTTAATGTGCATATTTGTTCTGCTAAAAACTATTTTTGTTGTACTGACACCATACCAAATACTCCCAATTGGTACATTTTACTTGGATCCTTTTTTTGTTTTTCACTCGGTCTTCGGAGTCCATATTGGAGACCTGATTAAATTCGGATCGCGCACTACAGGACCAATCGAAGTGACGCTCCCAACATGATTTTCTCTATATTCAGGGCTCGAATGTGAGGTCTCTGATTAAGGGTAAAACAGTCTCACAATTGCACCACAACCCAAGTTACTTGTACCCTTTACTCAAGGCTAATGCTAGTCCACTGACTCTATTATAGTTGACAAACTTTTCCTAAAATAACCTAATTATAATATGCTACACAATTAATTAATTGTCTCAGTTATTATAATTCACGTGTGCGTTTCCATATGAACTAAAATGGACTATGGGGTAGGCTAAAGTTTCATCTACTTAAATAATTATTGTTACAATAATTCACCGTATTTGATTTAAGCATTGATTATAATAAGTAATTATGCCATAACTTTTCTTAATTTTGAAATTCAAATAATTACGTAAGGATTTAGTTTTACATTATCTGTATGATTTGTTTATAGCATGCAGGGTAATAGTAGTATATTTTTCAGGATCAAGGTTGATATACTAATAGTTATTTATCTTTAATTTATACGTCAAGTTAACTTGATATAGTGTAAAAAGATATATACATTGTCTATATAAAGAGAGCTAAACAAGCTCATATATAATTTCCAAGTACTAATACAAATATGCTTTACTTTAGTCGGGGGTCTATTAAAAATAATATCTCTATTTTTTCAAGGTAGGAGTAAGGCTACGTATATACCATTCTCTTCAGACACCACTTGTAGAATTATATTGAGTATGTTGTTGCAGTACAAATATGCTTAGACAGTGGCGGAACCAGCTCGGGCCTAGATTTTAGACAGGGGCAAATATTTATTTTTTCATATTTTGATCTCTCTTGGTGAAAATCTTGACTCCGCCACTCACTCAAATGATAGTAGTGATTATATGGTTTTGAGTAAAATTTCCACCAACTGAATTTTGTTGCTTCATATTCATGCAACTGCTGGTCAATAGGGTTGGAGCAAATTGCTTTTCAATTTGCATGTGACAAGAATGGGAATTAACACTATTATTAGGAATTTGAGCAGTGGAGTGACAATTCATGTAGCTAGCTTAGACTTAAAGAAAATATGAAGATTTTGAGGACTATATATATAATGGTGAGAATTTTTTTTTCTTTTATATCATTGTGCTCACATGCTGCCAAATTTTACTATCATTGGTCTCTATAGAGTCAAGGAATTGTAATTTGTTTTTCTTAATATCTCTTCAAAAGTTACTCAATAGACTATAATTTGTTGGAATGTCTGAATGATCACTCAACGTATAATAATTGATTATTATAGTTATTCAACTTTGTTTCGTCTCCCAAAGGGTTATTTGATTTTACCTAGTTAGTTAGCTTCCTTGTTGAGACTTGCATATTTATATATAGTGTAGCTGCAAGATCAATAATTATTACTTAAAATTGATCAATGGATAAACCTGCATTATTAATTAATGCTATGTTATGAATGAAGCAAAGAAAAGTGAATAAGTGTCTTAATTTAAACTAACAACATAGTAAATGTCACACTAAATTATTTTGATGAAGCACAGCAATCACATTTTAAAAAAAAGAATACCATGGCTTCTTTTTTTCTTTTGCATTTCCAGTTTGGCCAAATAACTTATGTCTGTGAAACCTAATCACCATCATTCAAGTTACATGAGACTCATTTCATTTTTCTTTCTTTATGTTTATGCTACTTATTGTTTTGAAAAAGAAAAAGAAAAAACTCCGCGAATCAACAAACCAGCGTTCTTCATCTTGCTTGTTCTTGTGAGATTCAGGACTCTTCATCTGCTGATAGTTTTTCTGAGACATAATCAACTCTGTCTTCGTTCCAGTTCCTGCTTCTCCACGAGTGATGATCATTTGGTCTCACTAACTGTAAGAGAATCTTCGCATGGTTTCTTTCTCATAATGCATTAGTTCAGTAAGAGCGCACACAAACATCCCTTTTGTTGATCTTCCTTGAAAATTTCAAGCTTCTCCAAGTAAAACATAGTAAATGCAGCATAAGGAGAGGTATTCATTTACTTACTTTCTCTCGTTCACCTTTACGAACATCATGCATATAGCAGATAAAACTAGCTGAAATAGAAGGGTATCCCAGTGCACACCTACAGATAAAAATAAAACTTAGCATTATCAGCATATCATCTTTCCACTCCACGCTATTTTGGCAAGCATAGGACAGAGGAGAGCAAGGGAAGGAGCTTACCAAAGTTCCTGTTTCTTTGTGCTAGAGAGTTACAACAAAAGGTGGGGCATCCTTTCGTGGCCCTGCTACAGAGCGATAGACGTATAATTTATCAGCATAATCATCGCTGTGCTCATCTTTGATTACCTCGACATTCAACCTAGGCCTCTCTTGTGCAAGTATTCTACAACCATTCATGGTGACCCTGCAAGCTGACATCCAAAGACACCGCATTGATTCATACTTCCCCATTCCAGAAAGAAGTGCTGCATTTCCAAATGGAGAATCCCTTATCTCCAGCTTCCTCAGCTTAGAACAGCCGTCGAGCACACACTGCATACCCCAGTCACTGCTGCCAGCAAAAGCCACTGAAAGTGTCTCAAGGTTTTTGGCATACTTTCCAATATACTCGAAGGTCAGGTCAGTCAACAGTCCAGAAACAGAAAGCCTCTGGAGCTTTTTACAAGTCTTGACCACTGCACCAAATGCCTCATCCATGGGTTCATTTGTCAAGTAATCTGGCTGGCCAGGATTCATTATGCAGAGACGAAAATGGGTGAAATTAGGGCAGTTACGCACTACTGTTGCAACAGCAGCATTAGTCATTTGCCGGCAGAAATAGAGAACATATTGAAGCTTAGGACAACCAGCAGACACAGCCACAAAGCCTGACTCAGTCACTCCATGGTCCATATCCTCTTCAAAAGGGTCAGCAGGAAAGACTCGCAATTCTTCAAGCAATGGGCAGCTGGTTCCAACAGCCTCTAACCCCTTATCTTTGACAGTGTCTAGGACCTATAACAGAAAGATTAGGCATGAAGACCTTGAAAGTAGAAAAATGGATTACCATGATATGAAAAAAAAGGTGATTAGCATCTCTTGCATACTTATCCCTAGAGAAAACAACCATAGAGCAGTTCAAACTTAAAAGACGAATTAGTGGTAACTTTCAGTTCCTCGACAAAATGTCAAATGTTAGGAGATCAATACCTAAGACCTCATCATGAAAGGATTTATCACGTAAATGTTAAAGCCTGAGGTAGATTCTTACCCAAAGGCGCCTTAAATTTGGGCAATGAGCAAGAAGCTTCGAAAATTCACCACTCCTAATGGCTTCATAGCTCAAGTTGAGGAAAGTCAGCCTAGCACAGGCTGCATAAAGAGATGGTAAATATCGACGATTTGCTTCCCAAAAGCCTGAAAGAGAGTGCAGATGTTTGCAGTTGCTGAATGCACTTTCAAGTTCTGCATACTGCCGAGTTGTGAGTTGATCTGGAAGAAAGCATCCTGTACCCAGCTCCATCAGCTGAGGAGCCCGGACGAGCAGGCGTTGCAACTGAGGCAAGGTGACGTTCTTGTTCACCTTCAGAACTCTCAGAGATTTGCATCTACCGACAAGTCTCTCTAAAGCATCTTTACTGATCTCAGTGTTCATACAGGCAAAGTTAAGCACCTCCAGTGATGTGAAGTCATCCGGAAAACAACTTAGCCAACTACCACAAATATCATCCATGCCATTCTCCTGAATGTCCAGCTCTGTCAAGTTCCTGTGAAGGAAACCAACATTTAGATTGGTATAGCAATTAAGATAACTTGGTTTCATGCTGATAAGCATCAATTAAGAGCCACAAAACAAACTGACATTTCTGCTGCCTATGAAGAAAAGCATGTTTTACTTTTCTATACCTTGGAATATTACGCAAACGAAATCTTGTTATCATCACATAAATAGAACCTCATTGTATGCATCATTTAGATAGTACATGAAGACATTTGTTATATACAAGTCCAACTTCTGTAGTATGTTGAATTGTGGATGTGACATTAGAGCCATCCTTCAAACTACATTTCTTTGGAACGATTGCGGACCAGAACAACCAAAGATCCCACATTCTCACATTCATTTTGGTTCAGATTATCGTAACTTAAAATTGCAAAGATGCCAACTTCTACGTTTAAAACTACACAAGCAAAATCTTGGCATGCGACCTAGACACCTTTGTGATGGTATTCCTTATTTGCCAAGACAACAATCAACCTGAAAGCCTCATGAACCATAATAACCTAGTGGTGCTACAAAACTAGACAACAATTTGACAACATATACATAGTGATATATTAGTTGAAGCTCCATACATTGAACAGGTCTAATAGACATTAAAAGGTTCAGAGATCAAATATTTGTTACACAATCCAAGTTAATGTAGAAACTCTTTCTTGACCAATAAGAAGAGTTATTTATGCCTAACAATGACATCAAAGAATTCCCTCAATTAATGCTCATTAACAGGTCAATGTCACATCATGAAAGTAACATAAAAAAGGAACAGAAAAAGAATTCATAAAGTGGAACCATTTCAATTTCCACTTATACTTTTTTCTTCTTTCTTTTTAATGTGTGGTAAGACAAGGTGGTGATAACAAGATAAACAGCCTAACATGTCCCCAGCCCAGAACATGTCACTTTTTTATTTCTTCACCCACATGGCCACTTCAAATGAAAAATACAAGTTTCTTAACCATTCCACATCCAGACACATGGGTCTACTGTTTTGTCCTCCATTACTACAATAATTAGCATGGACCACCTTGTAAACAGTACTGTTTTTCCTCAATCTGCCTTGAAAGAATTCTAAATCCACCATAACAGAAAGCTAAGATATTGAAGTCAGATGCTAGATAATATACCAGTTACAATCAAATAAAAACTATTTCTTGAAAAAAAGATAGATTTTTATCCAATCAAAACAACATCCATATCTGAAACATTAACTGATATTAAAAATAACCATCAAAAGTTAACACAAGTGAAAAGATCATCTTACTTGCAGTGAGCAGCAATGCTACTGATCCCATCAGTGCTAAAACCATCACAACTCAACAATGAGAGAGCCTTAAATCCAAGAAATGATTTTGCCAAAAACTCCAAACTCTCATCACTAACAGCCATTCTTTTCAATCTCAACTCCTCAAGAAAGGGGTAAACTTTGGCAAAAACATCAAGCCAAGCCTGAATATCAGCACCCCAATTCTCTGGTACCAAATTAAAGTCAGAAAATCTTGGTTTCCCTTTAAGGGTAACACTCTTAATCTTTGGGAATCTTCTTGCTACAATCTCAGGAGTAACTGAATAGCAATTCCCAATAAACAGCTTAGTCCTTGTCCAACGCTCTGCATTATACCAATCCTTGCACACCAGTGAAGCTGAATTTCTATCTTTATGAGACTGAACAAGAGACAACACCTTCTCCAACACCTCATCTGGGAATGCTGACTGAGTTAACTCCGATGAGTTCGATAAATCTACAGATTCCCTCGGTTTTTTCAAGCTCGGATTCATTTCCATCTCAAGAAAACTGAATTGAAATCAAAACAACTGAAAGTTCAAATCTTTATCCTATATTTCGACACGCTGACAAAATTTTCAACAGCAAGATTCCAGCTTTAACCCCCTCAGTTGAATAAACATAGTCAACAACTCTGCTGGTTATAAAAAAAAAATACTAGCTTTCAAGATTTGTAAACAAACAAAAAACCATCTTGAGTCACCTGAATTTCAAAAAGAAAACATCATCTGCAATCAGTTGTACTACACTCCATTTTAGAGCTTCAAGAAAACAGAGCAAGAGATATGGGTCTAAACTCTAAAGAGAAAAAAGGCTGAGAAATTTCTGAAATGCTACTGAAAAAGCAGATAAAAAAAATGACCCAGAAAAACCATGCTTATATCAATTTAACACACAGAAAAAAACAAAAGAAAAAGAGGAAAAGAATCAGTAAAATTTCAGAACAATTACAAGGAAAACAGGGAGAAAAGCGTGAGTTGTAAGAGAAAAAAAACAAACTGGAATTGAAAAAGCTGTTGGCTTTTTTTTCTTATTTTTATTGCATACCTCAGTCTTGAGAATGGTGAAAAATGTGGACTCTTTGGTGCACCAGAAGAGCCAAAGAAACTCTCAAGCCAACCACTTACATAATATAACAATCCAAATTATTCCACAAAAAGAAAAAGAAAAACTTTATTCTAAAAAAAAGAGTATACTCCAAATTTCATTCATTTATTTAGACTTTAATATATAATCAATCATATTTTATTTAAATACTCGATTTTGATTTTTTTTTTAATATGTATTCTCATTCATTTATTAGAGAGTTAAGTTAAGTTGATCATATAAAATATGATATTATTAAAAGGGAAAAAGGACAAATATACCCTCGAACTATCGCAAATGATATGCAGATACCCTTCGTCTTATTTTTGGGACATTGGTGCCCCTGCCGACAAAAAACTAAAGCTTACATACATTTATACTAACGGACATACGCATATCATAATCTTATCCGTCGATTAAATATCAAATCGACGGATAAGATTGTGCCACGTGTCCCTAATTAGTCTTCCGTTAGAGTGAAGGGCATATATGCTTTAGTTTTTGGACGGCAGGGGAACCAATGTCCCAAAAGTATGACTAAGGGTATTTGCATACCATTTACGATAGTTTGGAGGTATATTTATCCTTTCTCCCTTATTAAAATCATACGTATTCGCCTCAATAAATTGTGAAACGTCAGAATTTTTTTTACCTGAGATTGATGGTCATAATTAAGTCAAATATATATTTTGTATGATTAACTTGTTTAGTAGACCGAAAAAGTGTATATAATTGAAGAAATTTATGTTTAACTATGATCATCTCATCTAAAAACTTAAGTTGTAAGAGAGAGCATATCTTTTTATCATTTAATAATATTATCAACACGTCATATTGAAGTGTGTGACCATATTATCCAAAAGCTTAAGCTATTAGATGAAATGATCACACACTTCAACAATTTATAAGAATTGAGATGTTTAAACCTCGAAGTTTGAAAAATATCATACTACTATAATTTAAGAGGGAGAAAACAGTAATATTTTAGTGTATACATAGTACATACGTAAAGGTTATAATAATAAGCAGCCCACCATATGTGAAACTGACAGATATGGCAGGCGAGCCAAAACCTAGCCTTTCTCCAGTTGCAGGGACAATGCTGTGGGCTTATGAAATCATGACACGTGTACAATATCACGTTGTTGCGTACATCTGTCACGGCGCATATTAGACAAGAGCATCTTCTGGTGCAAAGTAACGGTAAATGGATATTTTTTTGTACCTTTGACCCCTCAATTTTTACGTGGTACTGTTTATTTTTTATATTGTTTTTAAAAAAAAATGTTTTCTTCCATTGCTTATCTATTTTACAAGTTTATTTATAATGTGTAACATATAATATTTTATTTATTATTTGCTTATTAAATATTAGAAATGGTATCCTTAAAACATGAATTATTATTGGTTATAAAAGTAATACTGATTTTTTACTCATTCGTTACAAGTTAAATTCACATTCTCAACTCCAATCACTTATTACGTTTTGAGAGGTCAATCTGATCGAAAAAATATTATAAGTTGCAATCTTCTTATATCAATTTGAATAAAATTTATAAACGAATTTTGGCGAAAAAATAAAAATAAAAACATAAGTTTAGGGTGAGGGGGGGGGGGGGGGTGCACGTGAGGGAATCACGTGATTCCTGGTTAAACCGCACGAGTCGAGGATGTAACAAAGGAATAATTCATACACTAATTAATTAGAGAGTTTATTGAGGCATGTAATCAGCTGAGGAACACAGTTAATCATCTCGAATCTCTATAATTTTATTTAAATTAATTAATTAAAAACAACAATTTCAAACAAAATCAAGTAAACTTGTAGTTGTAATTTTAAATTAAATAGATATTTGGCTAGTCATAATTGACAGTTGTCTCCTTAATCCTTCACGTTCTTCTGTTTCACCATTATACAACCATGAAACAACTAATAGTTTGTTTGCTATATATTATGAATAATTATCTCAAATTTGAGTTCCTAATTTATGATTGATCAATTAATTTAACATGTTATAATAAAGTAATTTTTATTATATATAAAGAAATAAAAGGACTAAAAGTATTTCTAATCTATTCAAATAGATTAATTTTATCATTCGTTACGTTTTTGGCTAAAAAAAATGCCTCTGCCTTGCGTCCCATCCTTCTTCCCAGAATTTTCTTTTTAATGAAGGTAAAATTGTCTCAATAAAAATAGTCCAAGGAAAAAAATGATTTCTTTTATTTTGGAGTAACCGTTAGTTAAAAGAGCATATTTTGAATAATAATAAAAAATAGCAAAGTTTAAAATTTATCTATTTTAAATAATTTAAGAATATTTTAAACTCTTTTTCCATACCACCAAGAGTAGTACTTGTTCAAACTTTAAATGGAGGGTAGGCTCATTTCAAATAGTTAAGGGAAAAATTGATGCATTTTCTCTTGTTTTTGAATCAATGGTAGAAAAAATATTTTTAAATTTTCAGTTCGGGCCCGTTTTATTCAATCAGAAAATAAAACAAATACAAATATTTTAAATTATTTGGCTAGTTGAAGGATATTTTAAAGCTAATTAACTAGCATCAAAGATATGTTTTAGCCAAAAATATTATGAATGATAAAGTTTGTTTGTTTCCTTCTATGTATAACATGTACTAACTTAAAATTCTAAATCTATCTTTTTGATAGTTGTAAATTAAAATAATTAGTGGTAGTGTATACAGAGGCGTATCCAGGATTTTGAGATAATGGGTGCACTATTACAAAAAGGTGGATCTAAGATATAAATTTGATTGATTTAACATTTAGGTTCTTATCACTAAAAATAATTAAAATTTTAAAATTATAGGTCCAAAGTTATTTTTACCTATCCAAACCACTTAGAGAGACATTACCCAATTTTAAAAAGAAAAATAAAGCAAGATAACTAAAAGATTTAAATTTCTAACCTCACTTTGAGAGGTGAACCCAACATAATTGCACGGTATAATACTTCAAGTGTGGGTTCACATATTTATATTTAAATATTTTTAAAAAATATAACACTGTTATATATGATTTCAGGAGGGGAGCATGGGTTCACGTGAACCCGGTGACCCCTTCCTGGATATGCCTCTGAGTATATAGTATGATTATCATTTAATTGTTGACCTAGTTAACTTGTAATATTACACAACTTAAATTGCATTAAATATAAACGTACCTAATACATAAAGGAAGCTTATCTATGTGACGTGGAGGATTTTAACTTTTTCTAAATCACCTCCTAATCAATATTTGACTCAACCTTAAACAATCTAATTAATTATTTACTTATAGCTAGCCCATTATAAAAAGATTTGCTTTTCTATGTTAGTTATTATTATTAATTGTGGATCATTAAAAACTTTGATTGGTTTGATTTCTTTTTTTAATTAAAAAAAATTGATTTTGTTTAAAATAAAATTTATAAATTAGGCAAGGACAAATAAAATTGTCTTGATTAGGTACATTGATGCTGCCATTATCAAATATTATGTGCTATCTCTTAGCTTTCTAAAAAGCAACAAATAACATGGCATATATCCATTTGCACCTATAAATGAACATGTTAAAACAAGGTAAACGCAAGATGATTCAAATATTAAAGTTATCAAAAACAAAAGTGAAAAGAAAAATTAATATTATGGCTTAACTATCTTTTTAAGAATAAAGGCGTAGAAAATAAAATAAAAAAACTAATTTGTAAGACAAAAAAAAAACAATTCGCTAGAACTATAGAAAATGAGAGGTCTATTATGAGAGATTCATTTTAAAAATTTGATGCAATTTTTCATTTTTAAAATAGCATATTTTCATTAACTTAAATCTTGTACGCAGAGTTATTTGTTACTTCAAAATATAAGGATTTGACATTAATCAGATACTTTTAACTCGGTGAAAATTAAGCCAAAAAGTTTATTTCCATTTGTTTAAACTTTAATGTGTCTTGTAGATATATCAGATACATGAAAGTAAAAAAAAAAGGAAATTATCAGTTATATATTTCGTCACTATATTATAAAAGATCGTTAGATATAACATTAAAATTAGAATTATTGATACGCCGCATACAACTTTTAATTACTCACTGCGAACCAGCAAGTAACCTATTATTATTAATTGATTAATGAGTTTGTGGCCCTTTGCTTGTATGTAGAAGCAATCTATTTTAAACCAATCCTAATCCAAGAGGTTCCAATAATTAAAACAGTCTAAGTACATTATAAAAAGTCCACTTTTACTGCACATTTAGTTTATATTAATTAATTATTATTATTATTTTTTTAAAAAGGGTGAATTCTTATCATTTCCTCACAGAACATGAAAGGGTTTCCTAATTCTAAATCAGGTTTATCTGTGCATTAACATCATAAATTTCTTTTAATATTATTAGGTTAAGTTAACATATAATAACAAATAATATAACTCTATGTTCTGAAATTGATACTCTATTTGAACAAGATAAGAATAAAATTACGTACATATCATTCTTTCACGATTCTAATTATGAGTTATAATAAAGTATCTTTTCTAATCAATGCAAAATAGTGGTATATTGACAAAGCA